ACACTGGGGGAGGGGCTCTCTGTATAACACACTGGGGGAGGGACTGACTCTGTATAACACACTGGGGGAGGGACTGACTCTGTATAACACACTGGGGAGGGGCTGTCTGTATAACACACTGGGGGAGGGGCTGTCTCTGTATAACACACTGGGAGAGCAGATGGCCGGGGGGGCGTGGCTATGTGTGCAGAAGGTTGGTGACGTCAGTGCGCACGCGCGCCTTTCGCGCTCTTCTCCCTCCTCTTTGCGCTCGAGCCACCTCACCGCTTCCTTGCACGTGCCCATGACGTTCTCAGTGACACAGCCTCTGCGCATGCGCCTCCCCTGATTGGCGCTCCGTTTCCTCATTCCCGCGCAGGCGCACTGAGCCTCCGAGCCGCGCCCTGTCTTCAATCCGCGCACGCGCATTTCAAGCTCCAGACTCCGCCCTTGCGCACGCGCAGCGCTCACTTATCCCCGCCCCTAGGTCAGACCCTCGGCGGCGCGAGGTATATAAAGGGCGGGGCCGGCGGGACGGGATCCTGCGCGCGCACCCCGAGCACGAGGCACCCAGAGCGGAGACCGCGCGGCCACCCCGAGCCACCGACAGCCTTTCAGCAGCTTTTACCCAGCGTGCACCGCGCCCGATCCCGCCATCCAACACCATGTCGTGGCACGACTACGTCCTCAACCTCATGAGCGACAAGAACTGCCAGGACGCCGCCATCGTGGGCTACAAGGGGACTCCCGGGGTGTGGGCGGCTCACCCGGGGGGCTGCCTCAGCAAGATCACGGTGAGACCCCCATTATAATATATAATGTATAATAATAACCCCGGGGGGGGGGGCTGCCTCAGCAAGATCACGGTAATCATATAACATTATACTAAATAATATAATATAATAATAACCCCGGGGGGGGGGCTGCCTCAGCAAGATCACGGTAACAGCAACCCTATACTATTAATAATAATATAGTATATAATGTGTAATAATAACCCCCCATTATAATAATCATATATAATGTATAATATAATAACCCGGGGGGGGCTGCCTCAGCAAGATCACGGTAATCACAACCCCCCATTATAATAATATAATGTATAATATAATCACCCGGGGGGCTGCATCAGCAAGATCACGGTAATAACCCCATACTATTAATAATATAATGTATAATAACTAGGGGGCTGCCTCAGCAAGATCACGGTGAGACCTGCTTTATAATATGGAGACCTACTGATCTTACTACCTACCTCCTACAGCAAGAACTATGTAATAACCAGGGGTTGCTCATCTGGATCACAGTAAAGGACACCTACCTCATACTGAGTACATACTGTATCCTCTCACTGCTACCTACTGAGCCAGGGTGACATACAGCCAGCACGTAGTCTATAGTCCAAGATTATATTTATGTAGCACAATCAGATTCCATGAATCCAACCATTACTGTGTAATCCATGGATAATGTGTACCTATGTCTTCATACTGAGTCCTGTGATATATGGAATAATTACCTATCATTACTAAATACACGATATAGCCTATATCCACCCCATCCATTATTACTAAATACCCAATATGCTATATTTTATTTATATAGTGCCATCAGATTCCATAGCGCTGCTCCTTCCATTATTACTAAATACTAATATATCCTATAGCATAATAAAATAATGGCATCCTCTTATAGGATATTGGGTATTTAATAGTATAACCTTTGACTACAAAATACCAAATATATCCTATAGCAACCTCTCCACTTATTACAAAATACACAATATACTATATAAACCTTTTCTATTAAATACCAATATATCAATCTCTCCCCTTGTTACTAAATGCCCACTATATCCCATCTAGCATGATGTATGTGCGGGGACTTTCTGTAATCTATTCTATATTGATCTCTAGCTCTGAAATATACCTTCCTCCATATCTTGTATCTATATTTTCTCTATGAATCATGTCTACCAATATATAGCATGGGTCTCTGCATGTACAAGTTGGGTTGAGACTTGTCTATAGATATGTGAATTCCTAATTTACTGAGCCTGGGGGCAGCAAGTGTTCCATCACTGCACCTCTATACTGTTATCTGCTGCCCTGTTGGTCATTTATTCCTGATTACTGTAAGGCATTCTGTATATGTATGTAGGTATTATCTGATCTATACCCACTATGGTTCCAGCTGGAGGAGCTGACTCTGCAAACCCCTTCCATAACTGGATGATTGCTGTAACAATCATATAATCTATCAATGTACCTCTCAATGTGATTCATTTTATTTATTCACTGTCGCCTACCACTTCCTATTAAGTAAGATTATTTATACCCTTCTGCCCAATCTACAACAGTAATCCACAAGGGTGCATGGTACCACATCTGCCCTTGTCACATTACACTGCCTCCCCCTCCCATGATATAAACTCACTGGCTGCATAGTCCTCTTACAGTGTATAACCCACATGGTGTGCAGCCTTGTACAGACCATCACAACTTTGTAACCTGCCTGTGTTCCAGTATGCCTTAAACTCCACGATTTCAGGAAATATACTGTAATGAGTGGTTATAATATGAAACCTTTCCTGGACAGAAGGCAGAGTGTAGCTATATTTTCATTGCTTTTAAGAATATTCTGCATAGAACTAGCACAAATCACCAACTTCAATCACTCTGATACATGCAGCATTCCTTCTATACCCCTATTGAAACCTGAAAGTGCTCTTAATCTTCCATGTTGGATGTATGTTTGCCGTTTCCTGCTGCATAGTGCAATACCTGGCACATTATACTTTGTATAGAATTCCCAGTTATATCTGCTGGAATCTCTAGTTTCTCCTATAGAGGTCTCTTAAAGTCCTAGATCAGTGGACCTCTGTAATCCCTACATTCACTGTTTTCCCATGTACCCACTGAACAGAACTAGGGTGTTGGGTCTGTTCACACAGGTAGATCCATTTGTTATTCTCAAACTGGGCAGATATAACTTTCTCATTCATAGACCTGGTGCAATACTGCAACGTGCATAGATTGGCTACTCTAAGCCAGGCTTGCCCAAACTCTGGCCCTCCAGATGTTGCTGATCTACAACTCCCATGATTCTATGAGCTATATATTGGTAGACATGATTCATTAAGAGAAAGTATAGATACAAGTTCAGCAACATCTGGAGGGCTAGATTTTTGGGGAAGCCTGCAGCATGGCTTCAGAAATAGTATATCAAAGCATGTAAGCTAGAATAAATCATGGCCTGAATACGGGCAGTCATAATATCCATCTATAAAATACACTTCCTAAATAAGGAAAGAAACGTGCTAGATGGGCTGGTGCTCTGGTCTTTATTCCCCGGCTATCTGTAGTGAGATCTATAAAGGATTAGTGTCTGTATAACTACATGCAGGTTTGTGAGTCTCCAGGAGAATGACTAGTATACTGGGTGGACATGGCACAAGTTAGGTCCTGTTACTACCAAATCCATTTAGTCTGTATTGTAAACCAGGCCCTATTGGCTGATGGGACCATCCCAATCTGTAACACATGTATTTCAGGGTGTGCATCACGTTGTGCTGGGAGCACACAGTGCTTCCATGCTACGGAATGGGTTTTAGTGTATTTTCCTTTTTTGCAGAATGAATTCTAATACAGCACTCATGTGATGCCAGACTTGCTATGACTGCCATGTAGGTATCTAGCTAGGTGTCAATACATGCTGTATAGCCATGCCCGTTCATTGATTTCTTGCCATGCAGCAGGCATCTCAAACTTTGCTGATCTTGAACTCCCATGATCCTCTGGCCATCTGCATTCAAAGTTGTGGCCATTGTATGCTAGCATGGGTGGAGCTCAAGTGCTCTGGACATTACTTCTTGGAGGCTCTGTAGAAACTCCTAGGACCAAGATGGTGGATGTCTTCTAGGGTGTGCCCCTGAGGGGACCTGATATCTTTATTCTGATCCCATAGGGTCAGAACTAAAGCAACAGCCTCTGTAGTAATGCTCTGTATAGACTTATAGTGCTATGGTACCAGTTAATCATTAACAGGGAAAGCGCACTTCCTGGTCCAGATCTAACAGGCACCCAGCAGCTTACTGCTCCCCATTAAGTTGCGGTATGCCCTTCCTGACAGTGCTGCTGCATGTCTTTATGCACATAGCTGTAGGTAAGACAGGAAGTCCCCAGACATGAAAACCATAAGAGGAACAAGCCACTACATGAAACCAACACTAAACTAGCTCAAGGCAGTGTTAATTTCTCAGATAACAGCATGCTTTGACTACTGCTAAGCTTGATGGGAGCTGCGGTTCTAGACAAACTCTTCTTGGCCACCTCTGGGGTACAATGGCTTTGTAACAATATAGCATCCTGCAGCTGAGCTGGCCCTGTTTATAGCTGAGCACTGTTAAATGCACTGAATCTCTTCCAAGGGTGTGTGGTTTTTTTTGTGGTCTCAGAGTAAGCTACCCCTTGGAAATGTCCCCCTCTGACTGTGGGCTAACCCATTCAGACATTAAATGGCATGCACCTTGTGGCAGGGGCTCTGAATTTTCTTGAACACTGTACAGAGCGGTTCAGCCCAGGGAATGTGGTGCTTGTTATCGTCCAATATCTATAGGTGTTTCTGGCCACATCTGCAAGAACTGGCCTGGTGCTAATGTTAAGTAATCTATATAGCTTTCTGTGGGATTTTACCATAAAGGAACACTAGCATTTGGCATAAAAAAAATACCAATACTAGTGTTATGCAAACTGTCCCATGTGTAAAGCTTTTTACTTGCAGCTAAACCTTTGCTACAATGTTCTCCATAAGGCCTTCATGGCTGAGAATCTTGATCTCCACCTATCCATCGCACAGATGTAAAGTCACACGCTATACCAATCTCCATCTCTTAATAGATGCATTGAGTCCCTGAGATGCTGAGTCTGTCCTGCAATCTTTGCAGGTTTGAACCCAGGAAGTCCCTCTAGTGGCTGTAGTGACAGATCTTATAGATGGTTATAGGGAACTATGTACCATGCCTTTTCTCAGACATGGCAAAACTTACATGGACTGGATATATGCCCCAGTAAAACTACATTATGATCCTGTGATTGGTGTCCCTTTTTAATGACTGCATCTGGCCTTGAATAGCACATGTCTTTGTGGCATGTGCTGCAGGCAACATGTCTTGGGCTATGACCCATCATTCTTTAACATGTGATGCCAGGCTACATACCCAGTCATTTCCACCTTTGAATAAGTGGATTCAGGGAGCAGTGCCCAGCAAACTCCAGGTACAATGTCATACTGTGTGTATATAGTTTGACTTTAAGTGTATGGCATCATAACCACTTCAGCGTGACTGGTGCTAGTGCGCCTTAATATTGAGGTAGGCTGGCTGAATTTCCTGAGGAATGGAGTGGGTGCCCAGGTAGTATGTGTATTTAAAGCCTTTGAGTGGCTCCCCTGGGCTCACTCTAGTGACTGCTCCTAAATGTGTTCTTTACTGACTCCTAAATCAGTCTTTTTGCTGTCTGCCACAAGACACATACTTCCTAAACTTGGCTACTTTCAAGCCTCAGTGACTGTACTGCATGTGGATCATACCTGCAGTATCTTGGCAGTCAGTTTCTGGTGTAAAACTCTCTGCTCAGACCTGCTGCTTAATGCTTCCTCCTCTGACAATACCTCGCTTCCTGTTTCTGATAAAATGGAGGGAGCTCAGGGCACTCCCAGAGGAGGTGGGGAGATGGCAAAGCAAAAAAAAATCTGACTTCAGGCCTAAAAAGGAAACATCTGAAAGGTCTTTTATATATTTGGTTGTCAGCTCAGTCTGATTAATGAAGCACAGATGTGCTGGATTTTTCATCAGCCCAGTAAGGGAGATGTGGTTACAAAATTCACAACTACTGTAACTCTGCATGTTAAAGCTCTCCCTCCAGGCTAGATCTGTGATTCTTATCAAGGGCAGGACTACGCACTGTAAGAAATGGAAAGCAAACTGGCTCATCCACTGAAGGTGGGGAGCTGCAGGTTAGTCATAGCCTCCAGCTACAGATAAACTGCCTGCTAGGTGAACTGCCCCAGGAGTGGCTACTTACACCTACAGTGGGATTTACTAATGTGAGAACCTCAGTTCTACACTAGCCTCAAACTTGTATTTCACTTTGAATTCCTGGCTCCCTTTGGGCAATATCCCTGCTTTTCTTCATACATTTTCTAGTAAACACTTGCTCTTTGTGTGTCGGGAAGTTCTGCTTGCCTCTCTATATACATTCCTGATTTGTGAAATGTCTTTCATACAGAACTATGCTGAGATCCTGGGAATTGTCAATCAGTAGGGTGGGTGTATATATCTCTATCCCTCAATAAAGCAAACAACTATGATCCGGACTGCTGTAAATATAGCTTTAACTTATTTTCTGAATGTGTCTTTCCTCACAAATGCCTGTGCATCTGAGTTGGGTCCCATCTAACTGCAGACCAGTTGGTTGTACTGAAGGTAAGGCAGCATTGGCAATCAGTGATTTACTGTACAATGCTTGTCACAAGTCAAGGCATGCTCTATGTTCAGGGGCAGTACATGGTGGCTTACGGAAGCAGTGTACAAGAACTTGATTCTACCACCCCTCATTGACTGCTTCACCCCAAAACAGTTCTTGCAACTTGGCTAATATTTGGATGGCACTCTGAGCCACCTTAAAGTCTACAAAGATCTGCATGGATAAGTAATGTTCTTTAGAGCACAACTTTAAAGGAACACTATAGTGAATACATCTGTTGTATTACAAACACTAAAGTGGCCCTCTGCCCCTGTGGCCTCCTTGTCCCATCAGTGAAATTCTGTGAATTTGGAACGGTCACTTTTCTGAAACAGCGCTTCCTTAAAGGACCTCTAGACACCAGACCACTTAAGCTCAATTAAGTGTTCTGGGTTCCAGGCCCCCCTAGTTTTAACCCTTCAGCTGAAAACCTAACAGTTTCAGAGAAACTGCTGTTTACACTGCAGGGTTAATCCAGGCTCTAGTGGCTGTCTCCCTGACAGCCACTAGAGGCTGTCTCTGCAATTTACAGAGTAAATGGCACTTATTTGACTCTGGACGTCCTGAGTCCAGCATTGAGTAATGTTTGCATTCGGCTCCACTGGGAAGCTGACATCGATGGAGGGGTCACTGGTGCTGGATTAAGGTATGCAAATAAATGGTTGGTTACAGGTAGGGCTCTATTGCATTAGGAATGCATATTTGTATTCCTAACGCTATAATCCTTTAATGCTCTCCCAGCAATGCATAAAACACATGCTGCAGCCTCAGTATGCATCCTTATACCAGCCCATGATATTGATGTGCACAAGGAATCTGCTTGGGAATTGCTGTATCATGTGTTTAAACTAACCTGCATTGTGTACTCTGGATGTGGCAGCACAAGTGTTTAAATAAAATAAACTAGCTAATGGTGACTTGTCTGTTCCCATTCACCTGTGTAATTCTGCTGCTCCAGCCCTCCCCAATGCCTAGAATTTAGACTCTAGTGACAGCTGGGGTAGACTGATGGGTGGGGGTCTGTCTGGGCATTCTAGCACAAATGGCTGGAGGTTTTTCTAAAACAGTCTTTGAAGGCACAAGCTGGCATACATTGTACATGGTGTATACATACCCTGCATTATAGGTTGGGATTCTCAGTAAATAGCCATTCTAAAGTTGCCCTATAATGGTTTCGTTTTTGAAGATTTATAAAATGTGGGTGCCTTCCACTGGTATCCATGGTGATTGTGCTGCTTTCTGCACACTGCTAGAAAGACTAGTACAACAATACAGGCAATGCTCAATCTGAATAGCTCTGGCAGAGCTGGTAATGGCCCATGTTGTCTACCTGAATAGATTCAAACCTAGAATGTGACAGCAGATAAGAACCATTCGGCCCAATTTTCTAAAGACACTCACTAGTACCTAGCCTTAGGCCTATACCATGCATGCTTTGGGTTGATTGCCTATACCATCAATGCATGTAGTTCCTATTGTATTTAGTGCTAGGCAGTTTACTCCATGTACCCTATTGCCACCAGGTTTGCATGCACTGATCCTCTCAGTGGCTAACAGTTTTCACTATCCCCACTGTCTCCCAACTTAAAGCTCTCTGGCTGGTATTTCAGTAGAAACGCAGAAGTATTGTGTAAATGATAAAAATTACTGCATGATGACACTTCATTACATGAAAGAGGAAGTATCATTTGGGTACAGGAACAAACACTGAATAATGGCCTTGGTGCCCCTGTTGTGGTTACCTCTGGGCAACTGTAAGGCTGTTCAATGTGCCAAACCATGCCTTACACACAACACTCTGGCTGTCAGGATTGCAGCACCAATCCTGGGCAGTTAGACTGCAGCACCAATCCTGGGCAGTTAGACTGCAGCACCAATCCTGGGCAGTTAGACTGCAGCACCAATCCTGGGCAGTTAGACTGCAGCACCAATCCTGGGCAGTTAGACTGATTACATTATTCAAAGTGCTGCTTGATTTACCAATCTCAGTCCACTAGAACAGTAAACCACATGTTCCTCTCCCGATGCTCCTGGAAGGCTGCCTCTTAGCTTGTGATTAGAGTCCACCAGGACAGACTAGTGTTTCAGTGTAAGCCATGGCCTGCCATAATGACTGTACTGAGGGAGCTTGCCTCCACTCCCTCTGACTGTATGTTAGTCACCTAACAGCCAGCTATAAAACATGTTAACTCGGTTACTATTTGTTATATAGGACAGAATTTAGCAATGTAGTAAGCTTTCCCTTAAAGGAACAATTCAAGCATGTAACACTACATATAGTGCATTGCAGGGGTTCTGGGGAACACTGGTGTCTTCACTGTAGTTACTCCTACATTGGGTCAGCTAGTGGCCTCCACTGACTGCTGAGCTAAGCACTGCAGGGCCAGATATAAATGGCTAAGCTTCAGTTTGGCTCACTGGCCGACCTCAGGTAAGTGCAACAAACTCATCGGCCAAGTCAAACTGATTGAAAATGCTTTGACCAATACAAATCAGGAAGGGTGGTTACACCCTAACATCAGTTTGTTTTTATGGTGCTTGGCATGTTTAGCCCTTGGCACATGCTAAAGTAGCTGGTCTAATGACTTACTGCATTCAATACTCTTGTAACTATGTCAAGGCTTGGCCAGAAATGGAAGGGTACCCTGCATGGCATGGGCCAGCTGGACTCTCCACTAGTATAGACTAGTCTTCCATCACCCATGTGGTGTCTAGGCTAGATCTATCAGAGCAGTCATTTCCAATCTAACTTTATGCAGGTGTTTGTGGCTTCCTCTATAATCACAAAGTGGAGAGTTGTCTATAGCCTGGCACACGGACTACCCCAGGCAGTAGTCTTGTTCTAGACTAAAGAATTTATTGTGTTGTGGTAGGTCTATTAGTTGGTAGCACACAGTATGTTGGGTTTAGTGTGCTGCTACCCGTGCTTGGGAGGAACGTTCAGCAGTACAGTGCTGCTAGCCGTGCTTGGGAGGAACGTTCAGCAGTACAGTGCTGCTAGCCGTGCTTGGGAGGAACGTTCAGCAGTACAGTGCTGCTAGCCGTGCTTGGGAGGAACGTTCAGTTGTGTGCAGCTAGCCGTGCTTGGGAGGAACGTTCAGCAGTACAGTGCGGCTAGCCGTGCTTGGGAGGAACGTTCAGCAGTACAGTGCGGCTAGCCGTGCTTGGGAGGAACGTTCAGTTGTGTGCAGCTAGCCGTGCTTGGGAGGAACATTCAGCAGTACAGTGCGGCTAGCCGTGCTTGGGAGGAACGTTCAGCAGTATAGTGCGGCTAGCCGTGCTTGGGAGGAACGTTCAGCAGTACAGTGCGGCTAGCCGTGCTTGGGAGGAACGTTCAGCAGTACAGTACGGTATTGCCGTGCTTGGGAGGAACGTTCAGTTGTGTGCAGCTAGCCATGCTTGGGAGGAACGTTCAGCAGTACAGTGCGGCTAGCCGTGCTTGGGAGGAACGTTCAGTTGTGTGCAGCTAGCCATGCTTGGGAGGAACGTTCAGGAGTACAGTGCGGCTAGCCGTGCTTGGGAGGAACATTCAGCAGTACAGTGCGGCTAGCCGTGCTTGGGAGGAACATTCAGCAGTACAGTGCGGCTAGCCGTGCTTGGGAGGAACGTTCAGCAGTACAGCGTTGAACCAGGGAGAGCATGCAACATGCTATGAACTTCATATTCACATGCTGCTTCTTATGGCCACCCTGACTGCAGAGATCTGGCTTTCTTAATTCTTTAATCAGGACTGTTCTGTATCATGGAGACAGACTTCCACAATCTAAAAATATTGTACCTTACTATTTGTTTTAATTCCTAGTGTTGAGATGTGCCCATAGATTGTATGCCTTCCCCTCCCTAACTTGGTCAGTGGGCAGTGCCCTGTTGGTCTGCAGCTGATATCCTGGGTTGATCTCATGTTGTGGTTACAGATATGCCAGCTGCAGGCTGTAACAAGCTGTGTGCTGATTCATGGTTTGTCCTGCATGACTTGGAGCTCTGTACTCTCACTGAGGTCATACAGTGAGTCACAGCCACACCTGTCCAGGAGTTAAAACATGGCGTGGAACAGGGTTTCTAGAAAAAATCCTTGACTAAGGATCATGGGAGATATAGGTAGAAACTGTCAGGGAGCTTATACAATTTGCCAATATTAATGTACATTGTAGGCTCATTGATCTGTGATCCATAAGATTTAAAATGGGTGCTATTTGGGGGGGAGGGTGCTTGCCTGCCACTTGAATGCTTTCAGAACATGGTTAGAAAGCACTCTTACCCATAATGTGTGGGGCCTGCTCCTGCATGATCCATACAGGATGGCTGAACTTGCTCACAGCTGGGCCCTGCCATGACTTGTCAGGAGCATTCTAAGGGAAAGCTGAGGGCTATGTACATGCTCATCATTCCTGACATGATGGGGCAGGATCCTTGCTTCTGCTGAGCATCATACTCCATATCCACCGCTGATGGAAATGCAAGCTATGACAGCAGGCCTGTTGGCAGCACATGCTAAAGTGTCACCATTTACCATCTTCAGTTACTTCATGCACATCTTTTAAATCATCCCTGTGGCTGTCCTAGCAAGCTGTGTGTATAGCTGCATTATCATGAGATCATTGCTAGAATCAGTACATACTGAGGCCTCTTCAGAGTTGACACATTGCTGTCATTTATTGAAGGCAGTCTCTGATCCAGTCTGGTATTTTAATATGGTGGCTGTATAGGGAAAATCTAGTCTAAGGTGCTGCTGCCATCCACTTGTAAGATGGCTGCCTATTGCAGCATGTCTTATACAGGCTGTCTGGCTTCCTGATCCACCCTTACATGGCTAAGACTTGCATGTTTGGCTTCCTGTGCTGGGAGGAGGAATAGGAAATGGCATGTTTTCTGGGTAACCAGTGACTCAGGCAATCCAGTTATTACAGAATCCTTTCTAGGACCACAGCATGTCAGTCTGATCAGTAACTTTCTCAATATATGGCACCCAGAGAGTTAAACAGTCTAGCCTAGTTATGTTTGTATGTTAAGCTTTCTGGGCAAACTGTAATTTTCCTATAGATTTAATGACACTATTTGATGCCCTACCAGAAATTATAGTTTTGCATGTGAACAGCCTCCCTAATGATTCGTAAATGGCCAGCAGCATTCTGCAGACTTCACATGAGATGCAGAGCTTGCACTCTATATAAGAGTTGGCTGTTAAGCAGTCTCATAGCAAGGGTTAGAACATGTCTCTTGGCATACAGGTGTACCTGTATAACCCTCTATGCTAACTGGGGAGACTGCAAATGGGACATGCTGTGGCTGCTCTAATTATCTTTAGTGTGTATTTCACACCTTCCTAGATGTAGGAAATGCCAGATCTTGGTCTCTTCACATGTAAAGGTACTACTAGCAGTCTGACACCACGGGGGTGCCAGCTTGGAAGCTTTCTAAAGAGGGATTGGTGTTAACCCAAACTACCTGCTGGGTGGTAGAAGTGGTGAGGCAATCTCTCAAATCATTCATCATGCGAGTACACAACACACACAGCCAGGGCCTTGTAACAGGCTGTCATTCCTATCTTTTTAGCTGTATGAAGGCTTGCCGCAGTGATGTGTAGATAACTGAACTAATGTAATAAATGCTGATTCCTCTTCTCTCCCACAGCCAGCAGAGATCAAGAACATAACTTCAGATGACCGATCTGGTCTGTTTGTTAGCGGTGTGACGCTTGGTGGGATGAGGTGTTCTGTCATCCGGGACCAGTTTGGCGACCCAGACGTTTGTGTCATGGATTTAAAAACCAAGAACCCAGATGGACCATCATATGCTGTAGTTATTGCCAAAGCCTTACAAGGTACAGACATGTTTCTCTCCATGTAAATGTGGACTCTGGCCTGACTGCCCTGGCACAAGTTAACACTATTTTCTCTTCTCTGCAGTTGTCGTCATATTGGTCGGGATTGAAGGTGTCCACTGTGGGGCCCTGTATCCTACAGCACACGAGATGGCCAAGTACCTAAAATCATTAAGTTTCTGACTCCCCTCCTCCCCCTCCATTACTACTGATTCAGTCGCCTGTTCCAGCTGCCAACATTGGACCAATCCACTGATTTCCCTCCCATCTTTATTTCCTTTTTTTATCACCTGTTATGTTTTTGCTGCCCTGGTCATCGAAATGAACAGAATTTTTCAGGGAAAAACAAATTTATATCTGATTTAAGAATAAAAAAGTATGCTGTATTAAGGTCTCTAATGTATGTGTGCCTGAAATTCAAATAAGTTTTCCCTCCTGTCTCTTTACTGGGAACACTCTGCCCCACCCTAGGCTGCAGTGTAACCTCTGCCCCATTGTAACATCTTATCAGCTCACAACACATATTTAGTTTGTGGGTTAGTCTGTAGCAGGATATTCCAAACATCAGTCTTACCCTTGGGCATCAACAGTCCTGAAGGGAAACTTTTTACCGCAGTTGAAATTGCAATGTTTTGTATTGTAACATGCATGCTCAAGGCTGGGCTCCCATAGATCATTAAAGATTTTCTTTTTCAGGGTTGTAGTAGACTGCTAATTGGAGTCAGACTGATGGTAACCCTCGCCTCTACTAAACCTCCTGCTCTTGAATTGCTGCTTAATGCGCTGTTGAAATGAGCCAAGTAACTTCTGTTGTATGATGCCATAAACTGCTTCGAGGTTAGAGTTACAAAGAACAATGACAATTTCACTTATTTGAAGTGGTTATGGTGTGAATGTGCAGCACTTGACATCTCTGCTACATCACTGGAGTGTCAAAGCCAGCTGGAAACAAGAATTCCAGGCTGGCTGTCTTGTGCTTATTCATGTAGTCTGCTGAAGCCAGGTGTCCCCACTGGGAGCTCTTAAGCACCCAGCAAAGAGTAAACTATTTAACCATTACTGGTAGCAGTGACACCAGGTGTGGCCCAAGCTAACAGCAGGTTGGGTGGTGCTGGTATGGTTAAAGCAAATTCACATTGCCTGTACTAACTTACTGTAGTGACAGCATGGGGCAATGCAGGTACAGAAAACAGTCCATGTAAAGTAGGGTTAGGTGCCATCTTGCAAGACTTGAATGGTTGGCTTGACTTGCAGCAGTCACTCTTTTCCTCATATGTTTAACACCTGGTTATAAAAACAATCAGGGGTTTTAACTTCATGAAAATAGTTGGTATTCAATTTTCATGTCAATTTTGGGCTAAAACAAATGACAGTAAACACAAACCGGTTAATATAACCACCTAGTATTGCTGCTTTGATTACACCATGGTCATTAAATCTGTTTATGTAGCCTTGGCTGAGACTCTCTCATAGCCTCTCTACACACTTCCTGAACATCTACTTTTTCAAGCTTGCCTGATTGCAAAGCTTTTAACAATGTTGTAAGATCTGATGGGGAACTTCCCTATGTAGGCTGAGACTTGATCAGGTGAGGTGTGCAGCATAAACTCCCAAATGGAGTAGAATGAGCAGTATATCTAGAGACATTGTCTAAACACCATAGCAGCGTCACTAAATTAGCTTCTGGTGCTTACATGGTCTCCGGTCAATTTGAAGGTGTGTTGAAAGTCTCCTTGCAGCTAGCTTTCAAGATGGATACAGGAGTCTGCTAAAAGAAAAGCAGAACTTAATATTTCAGATTGGGTCAAAGTACATATCTCACTAGTTGGTTAACAGGCAATTGGGAAATAACTGGTCCTTCAGATACATAGTGTGTCTCACTGATAGTGGGAGAATAGATGAACTATATAAAATACAGAGATGACAACTCACTGATGTGAGTGCTGGGGAAAGTTTCTGTATCCATAGTCAGGAAGGTATAAATAAGGCTAGCAAAGTATAATGGATCTAGGTTTTGGCTAACCTACTACTAACCCCTTAACATGCAATTGTAAACAAACCCTGTCTGTTCAAACATAATTTTACATATTAAAGCGGCACTCTCAGGCCGAACTTACCTTTCTTCAATCTCTTCCTCTTCTCACCCTCTCTCAGGATCTGTTCATTTCTTCCTGTCTTTAGTTTTATTTAAAAGCATAAGACAAAGTAGGGACTCGTTGCCTTATGGAGGTTTCCTCCGCTTGACCAGCGGAGGAGCAAAGTGTGCGTTGTTTCTGCTGGTCAGAGCAATTTTCCCATAATTCTTACCTTTCCTCCCTGTTCCCATGATGCTTCCTGTCGGTATTGCCGAACGTCCTGTCACTTAGACAGAATGCCGGCAAAAAATGCCGAATTGCATCCTAACACAATGAGAACAGTTTCTCCATTAGTGTTTAGGATGCAATTTGGGACTTTGTTTGGATTGCAATTTCACTTGATCAGGCTGCTCACTGTTTAGTGGACATGCCCCTACTTGCGTTATAGCAAGTAGGGGCATTGGGGAGATTTTAATCTCACTTATGCTATTATGGGTCTTATGAAGTGGCGGGGAGCACTACTCCCTGACGTTTCTAGTTTTACATATTACAAGTGTTTGTTCGTCTGACACTTCTATTCATTCTGCTTTCTGACGAATGAATAGATGAAATTCCCGTTTGCATGTCCAGGTGTTTAACTGGACATGTGCAGGTTTCTCAGTCTGTCTAGTGTGGGCAGATGTGTCCCACAGGGACTTCATCTACCCACACAAAGAAGGTGGCGCCCTGAATATAGATCGGGGCAGAAAATAAAGATTAAAAAATAGGTAATATGGGGGGCATTTGGGGGTGACGGGTCAATTAGAGAGTGGAGGGGGGTTAAAAAAATGGGATTCGGGGGCGGGGCCCGGCCGCCAAGCTGGATGGACGTGGAGCACCTCGGCTCCCTGGTGAAACCTGATAACCAGCCTCAAACTACCCCTTCTTACGTCCATAACCCCATGCCGCTACCAGAAGACATGGGGAACCCAAGCAGCAACCTCCGGTACAATTATCAGCTCCCGTCCTGCCGGAGGCACCGACTGATGGGCAGATGGGTTTGCGGCCTGCTGTGAGGCTCTGGCGGGAGAAATGGCCGATCTCCCGTGCTTAGTCCGGCGGGACCTCTCCCACGCCTACTGAGGGCCCCGTTCTCCCCCCCTATGGGCCGGTGGGGGTTATCCCGGTCCCCACCAGGGACGCAGTGATCAATAATAGCATCTGGGCAGTGAAGAAAGCAGCCTGGGACCGCATGGCAAAAACCAAGATGGCCGCCGCGTCTACCACAAGCTGGTGAGCTGGGGCTGTAGCAACTGAGCAACTGCTGGGTACCATCTGAAGCCGGTGCCGATCAGACAACTGCACGCTGGCAACAAGCCGCAGACAAACAAAGCAATCTCCGTGTCCACCCTGACCATCGGACAACTCCAATGGTAACAACTCACCACGCAAACAGAGAATAATTTCGGCTCGCTACAGAGAGCATCGTCCACACCACCTGAGGTATCGCCCCCCCCCACCCACTGTCACTGGTGTGTCTGTGTGGACTGTTTCAGGACTCTGAACCTAACTATACCTGTGGGGATGATGGACATGGGGCGCGGGCTCTACTCTCTGCCTGGGGTTGGTGCCAGCAGTCACACAGGACCGGACACATCCATAACATGAGCTACACCAGACCCGATCCCAGCTAAGACACCGGCCGATCCAGCACAGCCACAGGAGCGACTAGGTGGACGCCTACCACATTTGCCCATGTTTGCACCCAACTATTGTATATTCTTTATTTTATTATCTCATTAATAACTTCATTCTGTGTTTAATGTAGATGTTAACTCTGCAGCTCCCCACTGACAGCGCCTAGGCCTCCTAAGCCTGCACATATACCCTCCCTGGCAAGCCCAGTGCCCCAAGGTCCCTTGGTGGTTAAACCACGCCATGTAATTACACGTTAGTACGTACCTACGCTTAATCTATGTCGGACCTGTCCAACCTGGCTAGTCGGTCACAAACCCAGAAAGTGGCATCACATGACACTTGATTTAGCACACTTGAAAATCCCAGGGGGCAGGGAGTTTAACCCAGTTCCCCTAATATCATCTACACAGCGAGTGTCAACCAGAGGAATCTTAGCATGTCCATTTAACTACTACTGTCTCACATAGCCATGTCTGACTAGCCACGCAGGTCACCACACTAACTGTACACATCTCTCGTGACATCTATTAGGCTAACCCATGTCTATGCTACCCTGTTTTGCCTAACACTTGTTTGAATGCCTTGACAACTTCTCTGCTAAGCTGGTTTAATTTCTTTTGCATAAACAAAAAAAAAAAGCGCAACAAATCACCTTTACCACTATGTCACCGTATTAACTCATGTAACCTGTTAAATGTCATAACCTCACAATGTATCTGACAATGCGCTTCAAAAATAAAGATATATAAAAAAAAAAAAAAAATGGGATACAGCCATGACAGTGCCGTTTTAAGTGTACCCACACTTGGTGGTTCAGGAGAAACCGGCCATTCATTTATATGAAACCTTAAAGTAAAATCTTACGTCTGAGAAATTATGAAATTTGATTTATCCCTTCAGATTAGAGGCAGTGCATTATGACAGGGATTCCTAATCTGAAAGGGAAAGACAGGCTGACCCAACTTTTTTTTTTGGGAACCTCCCCAAATATCATTTGGCACGAAAGTGTCTTCAACCCAAAGCTCCCGAGTTCTTTGCCTGCCTCCAGCAGATGAGGGTGGTGCAGCTCAGAAGGCGGTTTCAGGTTAGCCTCAGGATTGCCAGCACTTCAGGCTCCAGACTGGTGGAACGCACACTGGGCGCATGCATTCCAATACGTCTGCCAATACTGTGCCGTGTAAGGCGAATGTGCACACAGGCTCGGAGGTCTTGGCGGTGGAACACACATACAGGTTACATGCGTTCCATCGTGGATTTGAGGTGCGCATGCACAAGATTTCAGAATTCAGGTGCCAAAATGTAAAATTTTTGTTTTGTTTTTTTGGAGTAGGTTTTCCAGAACCTTTGAAGGCTATATAACCCAGCAGCAACTGTTTGGTAGGTGCACTGAGAATCTGTTGCAAGTGTGTTCTCACCTTCCCTCCGGCCACACTTTGAGGTCATTAAGAATTCTATCCATTTTGGATATTCATCCTCAGAGGTTCCTCCACCTAAATCCATTAAAGCGCATAACCTTTTTCCTGAAGATTAGAGACAGTGCACGCTTTCACCCACCCCTTAATTTATTTTTGCAGTTATCCGGCTTTTGTATTTTCTGGGGAGCTTTGGAGTTGAAGGCACTTTATAGTGCCAAAGGAGATTCTAAAACACTTTTGGGGTTTGCCTGCCTTATTTTCCCATCCATTAGAAATCCCTGTAATGCACGGACTCTAATCTTCAGGAAAAAAGATTGTTTCCCAAGTTCTACATGGCATAACTGTAAATGCTACAATCCTGTTTGCTTTTACTGCAATAGAACACTAGAATTGTTTAGTGATGTTTCACTAGTACAGTAGCCTCTATGTACAGGTTTTATGATGGTGTTTTTACACATTGCAGCTTGCACGATTGGTTTGCTGGGCCTACGTTGTCTTTGAGACTGTATGGTAGCCCTGAAATGACTTGTGCATCATACCATTTGCAAAACTAGACAACCAAAATTTAAAATGGTCTTTTGTAGTAGTCAACCAGACCATAGTTCGTGTTATGGGGAGGGATGGAGTGAGAGAGAACCCGGGAGCCCCTCTGGGTCCTACTCTCGCGAGCATGGAGCGTTGCCGCGGTTACCACGGCAACGCTCCAAATCTATGGGCTAGAGTTCACCTCACCACCACTGGGTCCACCAGGGTTGGAGAAATGTCCCCCCTCCTCCAAATAAAGGTAAGAAGGGAGGGGGGACGTAAATGTATTTAATTTTATAAATTCTTTTTATATCAATCTGTCTACTAATGTCTACAATTTGTCTACAAATATGAAAATTTGACAAAGTGATCTTCTGGCCTTAACGTGAACGGGTAAGGCCAAACTCAGGGGAATACAGAAGTCAGAGGAGTTAGTAAATGCAGTCAACAAAGAGTAGTCAGGACAAGCTGAGGTCATCAATCCAGAAAACAAACTGACAATGTACCATACAGAGTGAGTAGTTAGGCTCTGTATGGTAGGCTTTGTAGCAACTTAATGCAGAGGGCAGTAATATCTAGAGTCCCTTGAACTTCATTTAGCAATTTCCCTGGGGTGACCTTTCGTAGCGCATGTAGGATTCGTAAAGTTAAAAGTTTGAACATTTGTTTCCAAAGGGGAGGATTGGGGTCCTGGGCAAATTAAGTATCAGACATCATTTTCACCATAAACTCTAGAAATGTGTATGGTCTACCTATAGCGTTTTTGTAAAGCGCATGAGTTGAAAACATTTCTTAGATTGCAATTTTGTTGTACCATATCCTACTGTTTCTGTTCATCAGATAAAGCTATATACAGTTGTCTGCCACGTATAGACTACCCCGACTGTACTTTTGTCATGCATTGTAGACCGTGTGTATACATCCTTCATATCTGTGAAGTGAAGGCCAAGCACATCATCATGGTGGAAAACTGAATAGAAGCTTCTGCTGCATTTGCCTCTTGCCAGGGTTTGGTGGAAACCTCTGCGATTTTTTTTTTTTAACGCCCTGTGCCACATGCTAGGCTTTCGAAAACAAAAATAGATTTTTAAATAACTTGATACTGGTATAATTATCAAACCTTGCAACTCTTATTTTACAAGGGAAGGGTCAGATCCTGGACAATCTTGCCATTTAAACACACAGAACCAGGGCAACCTGAGTGGTCAAGATGGCTATCCGTTCCTTAACAAAATGCAAAACACCCATGTATATCCAGTAGTGGATTCATATAATTTGTACTATTTAACGCGATATCTTGACTGCTTAGAATATATTGCTTGATAAGCAGTCTACCTTTAAATTTCATTTCAAAATTCATGTTTTTATCGGGGACATAAGCTTGGGAACATTTTTCAGAAAGGAGTTGGATAAGGAACTAAATTTTGTAGAGCCTGTGAAACAATGGGTCGTTTCAAGGGGAACACAGTGCGAAGTTGTTAAAATGGAGGAAACACAGCAGTTGCTCTTAGCAATCCCTCTTCATGACATCTGGTGAAAGAGGGGTAGCCAGGATAAGGTGCTATTCAGCTTTTTGACAATACCTATTACTAATGTTAGAGCCCCCAAATGTTCACATTTCTAGGACATCCGTAGTGTGCCTCATGTTTCTTCTATTGTAATGTGAATCTAGATTCGCAGCGGCATACTGGTTGGCAAACAAGTTGGCTTGCTCAACCATTAGCTCAAATGTCATAGCTCAAAGTATTTTAGTGACTCACAAGCATCCACGATTACTGTGATGCCAAGTAATTCTGCAAATTGGGGTATTTCCAGAGCCATCAGGTTTGGGGGTACCTAGTTTTCCTTGGGCCCTTAGCTTCCCAAGCGTCCTCTTGTTGATGAGGGTGGGGAACCATTACTTGAGGATTTACTCATGGGCCTCAATGTCAGAGGCAATGATAGTGTCACTGTCTACCAGAATGACGTACGCCTTCTCCACTGTATAGTAATATGCAATTATAGGGGGATTAAATGTACTTTATTAAATACAAAAGATGATACTGCACTCAGAAATTTGGAATAAAGTTCATTACAAAATTTAATAATCATTAATTAATTGAGTATAATTCATTAGTTATGAACTACTGCAAAATTAGAAAAATTGGAAAAGTTAATAATATATATACACACACTTAAATTGATAATATATACAAGCTGATATAAACCAATATAGTTTGGTACAAACAGTGTATTGTGAATCTACTATTGTAACTCTGTTAATTAAAAAGAGTCCCTGACCACATCAAGAAGTTAAGCACTAAGTTGCTGTGTCTGGAAGTCCAAACAGTTATATCATCCAGGAGAGTAGGGTAAATGAAAAAGAAAAAAAACAAAAAAGGTAAAAAATGAAAAAATATACAAAAAAGAAAAAAAATGGAAAAATTAAGTATATACAGTCCCAGTGTGTACACACTATGATGTAAAATGGATGGATCTCACCAATGGAGGAAAAGAGTCCAGTTGTCCAGTTCTTTGTGTCTCTTAATGTAAAGGTGAAATTCTCCTCCTCCCAATAAAGGTAAGAAGGGATGGGGGACATAAATGTATTTAATTTTATAAATTCTTTATTTTTATATCAAAAAGCCCCCCCTACACTCCTCACCACAAATTCACACATTGACCCCCCCAAATACACTGCCCCCCCACACACACATACACTGCCCCCCACACACATACACTGCCCCCCCACACACACACTGCCCCCCCCCCACACACACATACATTCCCCCATACACACACTGCCCCCACCCACACACACATTGCCACACACACACATACAGTCCCCCACACACACACTGTACCCCCATACACACACCATACAAATTCACACAATGCACCACACACACTGTTATACACACACTGCCCCTACACAAACACTGCCCACACACACTGCCCCCCCCATACACACACTGCCCACACACATACATTCCCCCATACAGACACTGCCCACACACACACACACACACATTGCCACACATACAGTACCCCATACACACACTCCCCCCCACACACACCATACAAATTCACAAAATGCACCACACACGCATACACACATTGCCCCACACACCTAACACATTCACACACTACACCCCTCCACACATACAAACACACTCCCATACACACATACTGCCCCCCATACACACACTGCCCCCACACATACAAACACACTGCCCCACACACATATACACTGCCACACACACATACATTCCCCCATACACACACTGCCCCCACACACACATACACATTGCCACCCACACACACACACACACATACAGTCCCCCATACACACACTCCCCCACCCACACACACACTGTCCTTCCATACACACACCATACAAATTAACACAATGCACCACACACACATATTGCCACCCACACACACATACACACATTTCCCCACACACCTAACACATTCACACACTACACCCCCCCACACACACACTGCACCCCTCACATTACACCACTGCTCCTATGCCCTACTACAGCCCCATATCCCAGCAGATGTCAAACTGTTCTTAAACAGTTTGACTGCTTACTCTGGGAGGGGGTCCCGGCACTCCTGGCACCATAACCACTACACAGAGCTGTAGTGGTTATTGTGCAAGGATTCTTTCTTTAAATAATATAAAAGTTCCCCTCCCGAGATTAGTCTCTGGATCCGCCACTGGCTCAGAGTGCCTGCTGACACCTCGCTAATGGATTTCCATTCTAAATTGGACAAGATTGATATTGGTAAGGCGAACAGGGTCCTTATGGAGGGAATGTGCCACAGGAGGTCAAGGGCTCAAGTGCAAATCCTCTCGGGAAGAAATGACTCCTAATTAGTATTGTGTCACAAATTCTTGGCACCATAACTACTGCAGATCCAGATGCATCTAACTGAAGGCATGTGCTCTGTCTGGCCTTTCTAAGATCTGCATTTGACCACATTGGGCTCAGTCTATTTATCTCAGCCTTCTTTTAACTGACCACTGCCTTGATTTAATAAGCTTTCCCAATGATTGAGGCCTTCGACTTGCCAATCTTGTGTCACAGCTTGCTGCCTCCCTATACTGAAGCCATGCACAGTCTGTCTTCTGGAAAATGACCCTTCGACAGCCATTACAAGGTCCCCCTGACATTGTCCTGAGAAGCTCACACTTCAATAAAGAATCCTAGGGGTGCCACATTACTTAGAGACCCAAACACACAGATAACCAAATATACCAGGAGTTTTCTGTGTGCAGGCAGGTTCTGGGGTCAGTATGGGGTGTGGGCTTGTCTTCTATCTGTGTTCAGGCAGGTTCTGGGGTCAGTATGGGGGTGTGGGCTTGTCTTCTATCTGTGTTCAGGCAGGTTCTGGGGTCAGTATGAGGGTGTGGGCCTGTTTTCTATCTGTGTGCAGGCAGGTTCTGGGGTCAGTATGGGAGTGTGGGATTTTTTTATATCTGTGTGCAGGCAGGTTCTGGGGTCAGTATGGGGGTGCGGGTCTGTTTTCTATATGTGTGCAGGCAGGTTATGGGGTCTGTATGGGGGTGTGGGATTGTTTTATATCTGTGTGCAGGCAGGTTCTGGGGTCAGTATGGGGGTGAGGGCTTGTTTTCTATCTGTGTGCAGGCAGGTTCTGGGGTCAGTATGGGGGTGGGCTTGTTTTCTATCTGTGTTCAGGCAGGTTCTGGGGTCAGTATGGGGGGGTGAGGGCTTGTTTTCTATCTGTGTTCAGGCAGGTTCTGGGGTCAGTATGGGGGTGAGGGCTTGTTTTCTATCTGTGTGCAGGCAGGTTCTGGGGTCAGCATGGGGGGTGGGCCTGTTTTCTATCTATGTGCAGGCAGGTTCTGGGGTCAGTATGGGGGTGAGGGCTTGTTTTCTATCTGTGTGCAGGCAGGTTGTGGGTCAGCATGGGGGGTGGGCCTGTTTTCTATCTATGTGCAGGCAGGTTCTGGGGTCAGTGTGGGGTGTGAGGGGCTTGTTTTCTATCTGTGTGCAGGCGGGTTGTGGGGTCAATTATGGGGGTGTGGGCTTGTTTCTATCTGTGTGCAGACTGGGTTGTGGGAGTTGACCATGGGGTGTGGGCCCTATTTTCTATCTGTGTGCAGGGCAGGTTTGTGGGGGTCGAGGTATCAGGGGGGTGTGGGCCTGTTTCTGCTATCTGTGATACGGAGCAGGTTCTGAGGTCAAGTATGGGGGTGGGCCTGTTTTCTCTCTCTGTGTGTGAGCAGGTTCTGGGGTCAGTGTGGGGGTGAGGGGCTTGTTTTCTATCTGTGTGTGAGCAGGTTCTGGGGGTCAGTATGTGGGGTGAGGGCTTGTTTTTCCTATCTGTGTGCGGAAGGTTCTGGGAGGTCAGTATGGGGGGTGAGGGGCCTGTTTTCTATCTGTGTGTAGGCAGGTTCTGGGGTCAGTATGGGGTTGGGCTTGTTTTCTATCTGTGTGCAGGCAGGTTCTGGGGTCAGTATGGGGGTGAGGGCTTGTTTTCTATCTGTGTGCAGGCAGGTTCTGGGGTCAGTATGGGGGTGTGGGCCTGTTTTCTATCTATGTGCAGGCAGGTTCTGGGGTCAGTATTGGGGTGAGGGCTTGTTTTCTATCTGTGTGCAGGCAGGTTCTGGGGTCAGTATGGGGGGTGAGGGCTTGTTTTCTATCTGTGTTCAGGCAGGTTCTGGGGTCAGTATGGGGGGTGAGGGCTTGTTTTCTATCTGTGTGCAGGCAGGTTCTGGGGTCAGTATGGGGGTGAGGGCTTGTTTTCTATCTGTGTTCAGGGATGATGTGAACACGTTCTTGCTTTGTTTCTTATTGTGTAACTGAATAAATAAGTGGAATCTACATGGAAATTACCCAACAATTGTTCCAATTACTGTAGTTCTTAAGAATTTGATCTGCAGTAAGAATGGAGTCACCTTTCCTCCGTACTCAAATGACTGAGAGCAAGATTGAAAGGGAAACAAGCAATTTTCATTGTATGCTAAGGTGAGTGTTGTGGCATTTCAGCTTGCGTTAGATTGAGGTGGAGGCCCACGATGGTTTTCTAGCTGGGAGATAGCAGCATTCTACCAAGGTTATTCAATAAAGTGAGAATTCAAAGTGACTTTCAAATCTAAACTCAAAAGATTTAAACTAGAAAAGCCTGCTATATTACCAACCCATTAACTATGGCCTTAGATTTCGTTTTTACGTTAAATGTTTGACTATTGTCACTTTAACCCTGTTAGTCTGGGGCATGGAGGCATTGCAACTGGTGGTCAATGGCATTTGGAGTATAAGATTAAAGGGATTTAATTTATTAATTCACCCCTTTTAAATAAAACATTGAAAATAGCCTATAACTTGTTAGTTAACATTTTTATTTGTTATGTGTTTCCTTATAAATTTATATTAAAGTTTTAACAAGCTACTTCACAATCCCATTCAGACAAGGCACGCAATGCAAATGAAGAAGCAAAATAAAAAGTGGGGGTTACATAGTTACATAGCTGTAAAGAGACTTGCGTCCATCAAGTTCAGCCTTCCTCACATATGTTTTTGATGTTGATCCAAAAGAAGGCAAAAAACCCAGTCTGAAGCGCTTCCAATTTTGCCACAAACTAGGAAAAAAAATCCTTTTTGACCCCAAAATAGCAGTCAGATGCCTCCTTGGATCAAGCAGCTATTACCCCACTAATTAGAAATGATATCCCTGTATGTTATGTTTTTGGAAGTATTTATCCAATTGCAGTTTAAACATCTGTGTAGACTCTGATAAAACCACCTCTTCAGGCAGAGAATTCCATATCCTTATTGCTCTTACTGTAAGAAAACCTTTTCTTTGCCTTAGATAAAATCTCCTTTCTTCCAGTCTAAATGTGTGACCTTGTGTCCTATGTATAGCCCTGTTTATGAATAGATTTCCAGATAAAGGTTTGTACTGGCCCTGAATATATTTGTATAATGTTATCATATCCCCTGTGAGGCGCTGTTTTTCCAAACTAAAGAGAATTACATTTTTAACTTTTCTTTGTAACTAAAGTGCTCCATTCTTTTTATCAATTTTGTAGCTCATCTCTGATTTATAAAAAAGATGCTCTGATTTCATGCCTGCACCAATTTTCTCCAGATGTGCCACATTGTAACGAAATTCCACCATGCAGGAAGTGGTGAAGACAATTCACAGATTTTACTAATAACATGACGTAAAGTCATGATTTTATTAATGACACGGAGCCGAGTATTATGCTATCTCTTTCTTACTTTATTCCTCAGCAGCAAAGAGAAATATAAAACTGAAAGAGAAAAAATGTAAATATGAAATATAATAACAGGTACAACCAGATCTGCCTAGTAACAGGTCAGCCAATCAGCTTAGTAGGAACAGTCCATAAATGTCTTGCTTAGTACTTCCACTTCCTCTTCTTTGCCTTCTGAACCGAAGACCCAAACCAAATATCCACATCAGGAAAGAACAATCTCCAACAAGGTAGACGCCATCACAACGAAATCAAGCTGTAAAACAGAGAAATAGTAGGTAAAATCCAAACTCCGGATCTGAATGTAACATATAAAGACAATCTGGCCTGTAGGACTATATACACCAACTGTCGTAAAACTCATAAGTAAATAGACCCACTATACGTCAACAATCAAGAGAAAAACCGTGAACACTTACCTTGAGGTAAAAGATCCCCCCCCCGATTGAACCATAAGTATAGATCCAAACCATACCCAACGGGTGGGTGGGTGGGAATAATACTCGCCTCCATGTCATTAATAAAATCATGACTTTACGTCATGTTATTAGTAAAATCTGAGAATTTTATTAATGACACGGAGGCTCCTATTATGCTAGTTTAACCCCTTAAAACCGGAGGACGTACAATTACGCCCTCTAATAGGCGGCTCTAAACGCCGCCGGGCGTAATTGTACGCCCTCCGGTTTTTGTTAACTTACCCGGTCGCCGGCGGTCCCACGCCGACGTTCGCGGTGGGGGGGACTCCCAGGGAGCCCCCCCGCGGCAGATCCTTCTCCTCCAGTGCTCCCCGGCCATGTGAGAGTGGGGTCCTAGCGATTATCCCCTCGTGCAGCAGAACCGGCAATTCACACAAAAATCCACAGTTGGTACAATATACGGTGGATTTACACGAATGGACGTTCGGTAGATAGCTGGGGTCTGGGCACATCATTCGTGAGATTGCCGCTCAGATCCCAGCTAAAATAACCGAACGCCGCACAGAAAACAACTTTCTTTCAAAACACATGAAAAGAACCGATTGTCTTTAATGAACCTGGTCCTGAAACTCCCGAACGTCCTGGAGGCTTAACGGTGTTCGTGCCGTCGAATAACTGTAGGGACTGCTATGCGTTCGACGACACGAACCCGCTGATGAACCAGGGATCCAAGATGGCCGCCCGCCGCATGGTCGGTAGTCGAACGACGGCCACCCAGGAGAGCCTCTAATAACCGATTGCAACAATGTGCCGTTCGCGAAACGAACGGGAATCCCCATACAAACCGCCATTTGCATTCGGCGGAACAGATAGTACAGGCAATGCAGGAAATACATGAAACAGGCACATACAGGTACAATGCATCTCTCTCCAGACCTATAGGCAACCCTTAAAGGCATAGTGTCCAGTTATAGTCCGAGTGGCTAGGTTTGCCACAGTCTGATCCCAACGGATCGGCTTGGGGATGTCCGGAGGAGTACTCACGAATCACGGCTCCAAGTCGGTTTGTCTAGACAACCCGTCGGCGTTGCCATTCTGCTTCCCAGGGCGGTAGTGGATAGTAAAGTCAAAAGGCTGCAGCGCCAAACTCCAGCGCAGCAGCCTGGCATTGTCTCCGGACACCCTGTTCAGCCACACCAACGGGTTGTGATCCGTGAGTAAAGTGAAGGGTTGCCCGTATAAGTAGGGTTGCAACTTCTTGAGGGCCCACACCACAGCCAGGCACTCCTTTTCAATGGCGGCGTAGCTTACTTCCCTGGGTAAAAGTTTTCGGCTTAGGTAAGCTACGGGGTGCTCGCCGCCATCGGGTCCAACTTGGCTCAGTACTGCTCCCAATCCAAACATAGAAGCGTCTGTGTGGACGAGAAAGCGTTTAGTTGGATCAGGAGCAGAAAGTACAGGAGAATTAACCAGCGCCGTCTTGAGCTGTTGGAACGCCTGCTCACACTCTGGGGCCCAGACTACTAACTTAGGGAGGTTCTTGCGGGTCAGGTCTGTGAGGGGTTTGGCGAGTGCGCTATAGTTGGCCACAAACTTCCGGTAATACCCGGCGGTCCCTAAAAAGGCGAGCACTTGGGTCTTGGTGCGAGGGGTAGGCCATTGGGCGACTGCCTCTATTTTAGCAGGTTCGGGTTTCTGTTGCCCACTCCCTACCCGGTGTCCCAGATACT